ACGCCTGTAATCCTAGCCCTTGGGAGGCTGAGGCAGGAGGATCACTGTGAGTTCGAGACCAGCCTGGGCTACATAGTGAGTTCTAGGGCAGTCTCAACTGCATAGTGAGACACTGTCTCAAAAAGCCAAAAACAAAACAAAACAAAACAAAACACCAAAAAACAAAACAAAACAAAAAACAAACCAAACCAAAAAACCAAGATGGAGGAACGCTTTTGTTAGGACACTCACAATAAGTAGCAAGTGTTTGAACCCTTCAATGGGGGGTGAGGGTGGAGGTGAAGCATGCAGTAATGATTTCCAAAGATGTCAGAGAATGGATGCTAGGCCAGGAGCTTGCGTAATAGTCCACCCAGGCCTTTCTGGCTGGGTGTCTCGAGCATGTCCTATATTTTTTAGCATACTGAAATCTCCCGAAGGCTCACTTGACACAAACAACCTAAAATGATTTATAACCCGTTGTCAGCTGAACATAGAGGGCTGGGGACAAGCCTGTCCACTGTCCATCTTGTTAAAAGATGCTTCCTTGGTTCCTGGCTCTATGGCTGCTGAGCTAGGCTGTTCCTGTCTCCTCCAGGTTCTGCAGGCTGAGTCTGAAGTGATGGGACAGCAGCTAGCTCTATAAGGTGAGGGACAGAAGACTGAGTAGAGAAGTCCCTGGAGGTTTCCGACCTGGCCAGGCCCAGAACTCACAGAACCATGTGTCTGCCCAGCCTTGTGAGTGGCCTGGCTGAGCGATGCCAGCAACGCCCTAAATCATCAGCTGAAGTGCTGACTTTAGCCAAGATGCAGCCTCAGCTTGCAGACATGGCTTTTGATTCTGGCAGGGCAGGACAAGGCCACAGGACTGGAGCTCATCCCTGTCTCGGCCTCTGAGATGATGGTTTCTGCTTTGCTGGGGCACCAGGGTGCAAGACTCGAGTGACAGTGAAACAAATCCTCTTCCTTTCCATGCCTGGGACTTCATCCCAGGGAACTGGGGCTCTCTTTTCCTGTTGAAATCAGAAGTTATCTAGTGAAGTTTTCCCCTCACTTCCAGCCCTCCAAGGTAGACCTCCATTTGGGGTTTAAACTGTAAACTTTACAAATACCGAGAACTTCTATGCATTTTTGATGGGCCTGTCACATGGGTAACGTGGCTGGTGTGATTTGGAGCTGGAAAAAGATGACATTTCCTGGGAAGTTGAACCTCTTGAAGAAATACTCCAAGTTGGACCAGAGGTTGGGACATTTGACCTGTACAGGACCTCACCTAATCATAGTTTGCCCAAGAACTATGCTCTCTATGATGCTGAGACTGGAGTAAACTAAGTCTAACAGCTTTCCAGCTTTCCTTACAAATTACTAGGAGTCTTTCGTGTACTCATGTGTGAGTGAGTCGCTAGGCAAAGTCACAGGCGTGTTGCTTTTGCAAACTTAAGGAAACACTTTTTTTTTTCTGGACTAGAAATTAACATCTGGCAGTGCTTTTCTGTTTGTTCATGGATCACAGAGTAAGTTTCTTCTTTGACTTTCCTTGTATTGCTCATCAAGGTGTTTTTGAACAACATAAACTAAGTCTGACCTGGTACTTCTCCAACCTTCAGGCCGTGCATGAGTGCCTCTGTGTTTTCTCAACTGCTTGTAATTGGCTTTCTGCTGATTTATGTCATTATTAGTGAAAAGAAAATGAACACAGATGTTTCGTCTATGAGGCAGCCAAAATCATGTGGGAGAATTTTAAAGGCTGAAAAGTTTTAATATTCAAATATTTGTATAATGTTAAAGTTACGAAGCTTAAAAGAAGTATATGGACACAACATTGATGACAAATACTTCAATCTCAAATATGCAAATAAAGAAAACCTCCTAAGATTAAAATGAACATTTTTAATTGAGCCAAGATAATCTCAAGATTCCTATTTACCAAATTTCTCCTACTTATCTATTCTTACCATGCACTCTTCTTGATAAAAGTAAGCTAAAAATAAACTAGAATGGGTTTAAATATGAAAATATATATTGCAAGTGAGCCCCAAATGTGGACCTCCCACCTTGTATTTTTATTTCCAAAGCCTCTGAATTTCTTCACTCTGCGAGGAGGCATTTCGGCAGCACGTGTCTGCTTGTCTTTGTCCTGGAGCTTCTGCTGTCCACTCTTATGCTTGCCTCCTTGTAGCCTTACAGCCAGATTCGAAGGCACGCTGTCACTTCAGTTCTTCTAGCAAGCAGCACAAAACAATCCATGCTCCATTTCCTGGAAACTCTTTACCAAATCCAGGGACTCCGGGAAAATTTCCAGGTTGATTTATGAAGGGAGCGGACTAAAACTTCCCCACGCTATCCCCACATCAAGGGGTTGGTATGGCTTGAAAAGAAAGGAAAAAGAAACAGCTCCCTGTCTCTTAGTTAAGAGGTGACAGTATTTTTGGCTTCAGCATTGCATAAATCACTTAAGAGGGAGGCAGGGAAATTGTGACAGATGATTTTGTTCTACATTCAGTAATGGTAGGTAAAAGATGAACATACATTTTTTTCCTATACTTAGCTAGCAATACCTAGCAGAGTACACTTACATTTTAATAATTTCACTTATAAGAATACCATATGCGGGCTGGGGATTTAGCTCAGTAGTTCTGCTGCCTGCCTCACAAGCGCAAGGACCCGAGTTCGATCCCTGGTACCAAAACAACAACAACAAAAAAAAGAATACCACATGCTCTCTCAACTTGAAGTATATGGAAAACAAGAAAGGATTTTATCTTTCTAAATCCACATTCCTATTTCATAAACTTGTTGGATGACAAAATGAGTCAGTGCAAGTGAGGCTATTAGAATAGAATCTGGTATATAATGACTGTTGTACAACTGTTAGCTAGACAAAGCTGTATTATAAAATACTGATGCCAGGGATTTAGCTCAGTGCTTCTGCCACCTGCCTCACAAGCATAAGGTCCCGAGTTTGATCCCCAGCACCAAAAAACTCCCCCCAAAAAACTGAAACTGTTAAAATTTTGGTGCACGTATGCCCCAACTTTTTCTACATGAAGTTAACTATTTTTATTATAAAATATTAGAATTCTTACTTTGCAATTGAAACATGCAGAACAGTGTGCAAATCATTGTGTACAACATAACACATTTTCATAAATTGAGCACAATGTATAGTTCAATCACCTATAAATAGCTTCCCGCAAATCTCAGGTTGCTTTCTAATTACTAATCTCATCCTTGTTAGGATAACCACTTTCTTGACTTCCAACAGCACAGATTAGTTTGGCCTGTTTTTGGTTGGGATAAAATCATTTGTTATGCTTACAATTTTGAATCCTTTATCCATATATCTATTTATGTCTATGTCTGTAGATAGCTATAGATAGATATATAGGTATCAACAATGTTTGTCATGTCCGTTAATGCTGTGTGTAGGAATTATGCTTAGTGTTTTTAAGCATTTCCCTATTTTACTTCCCAGCAAACCTATGAATTAATATGAGCTATTACAATACTGTCTTTTACCACTGTTCACAGCAGAGTGTTCCAAGGCAGCAGTTTACTGATCAGACTAAGTGTTTGGGCCCTAAAGTAGGATTCCTGGTTTAAATCTAACTTTACTACTTCCCAACTACATTACCAAGGACATGTTATCTATTTCCCTTTTTTCTTTTTGTAAGAATGGGGATAATAATAATAATAATAATAATAATACCAATTTCATGTGAGTCAAATAGAACACTTTGTTAAAGCACAAGTTTTTATTGTTGTTTAAGATGGGGTCTTGCTACGCTGTCAGGCTTGTACTGAACCACTAGTTCAAGCACCCTTCTGACTTAGCCTCCCGAGTAGCTGGGACTGCATGGGTGCGGCACCACACCTTGCTTACAATGTGCACAAAACAGGACCTGTTACACAGTGTCCTATGTGTTTGTTTAATAAAATGTTATCACATGTTCATCACAAGAACGTTTTAAAAGATTGCATCATTTATTTGGGATAGATATGGTATCATTTTCCTAACCATTTTGTTATCATTGACTTATCATTTTCAATCTTTTCAATGTCCTTTTTTATGACATTTTTTTTTTAATGGTGCCGGGAATCTAATCCAGTGTCTTGCACATGCTAGGCAAACACTCTACCACTGAACTATAACTTTTTCATGAACATGTGTACGCTGTCCTTTCAAGTTTGTATGTACTTTCTGCTGCACATTTACGTAATTTTATTAGCTATAACCTGTACCACCTGGGAATTCATTCAGACCACGTGTGGGTTGGCTTTCCCCTGGGGGAGCAGGGATGTCACTTCACTGCCGAATGGGGAGGCCTGGAGTCTGTGCCTAAAGTCCTCCTCTTACTTCTTGCTCAAGGCAACAGGGTGGGGCCTAGAAGTCAGCAGGTTCCCTCAAACTGAATATGTTATACTGATGTGTTTGTGGCAGAGACGCTACTCCAGAAATAACCTCCGGAGAGGCAAACTCATTGTTGCTACAAACCACCTCTGTGTTTCCAGACTGCGCGCTGGATATGGGCACAGGGCATTTCCCGGAGCTTAACCATCATCTAGCCAGTGCTGGCTGCATGAATGTCATGACTGACATTTCCAGGCAAGCCATTAATCTCCAGGAAATGCCCAGTATTTTGCTTACTGTTTGCTTCATTGAGGTTGTGAATAATTTAGTACAGAATGATTTCATGAATCTGAACAACGAAAAGAATGTTTTGCCAATGTGCACAGTAGTACCTCCTAGTGAGCAAGTTAGTCATCATAAGTTAATTTAGATTTCAGAAACGAAATGTTACATTTTATTTTGTCAGTTTTGACTAGTAAAAGCGAATGCATTTTATTAAAAGAAAAAACTAAACAAATATATTTTCACAATGTGAAAAAGCCCAGATGTAATGTAGATGATTTCTTTAGGAAAAAAATTTAAATCCCTATTTTACAGCAACACTGTAAAATATAATACTGAAGCACTGAAAATTTTTATTTTAGTAAGAATACCTTTTCTGTTTTTGCAGGCCCGAAGGAGTTCTTTGTTTGGAATCATTTCTTTTCCCGCAAAGACTGCTTTTACTAGCATAATGTGTGCTTCATATGCAGCACTCATTTATTTGGTAAGTTAAGAAGATTAATAGACTCTAGAAATATGTATACTTACTTTAATACACTGTACTTTGTACAATATTATCTTTAATGGTACTATTTACAAGCTAAGGTACCATTCTCTTGTTATGCAAAATAATTTCATATTCAACGTTTACTCTTCTGCGGATCCAAATCATCCACCAAAATCCAATTAATAACTAAATTCATTTTATTTTTATAGAGTTTATTGTCATTTGAAGAGTCTTGGTCAGAACACTTTAGTCTTTGCTTTCACTTAGCTACAGTTGTTTTCTTTCAGCTACTATCCCACAATGGCTGAGGTTTGGGACTCCATTGTGTTGGGTTGATGAATTTGGGGGACACAATGTATATTAGTGTGCAGTATTTTGATTATAAGTACTGTGCATGGCAAAAATGTAAATAACCACATCAATTATAAGGGCTTTACTTTCTGTTAATAGCCAATTATGCTTCACTTCAAAAACTATGCCATGTAAAAAGAAAAGTACACAGCTTCACGTGTTATCACAAGATCTATTCATCTATGTACCCTTAAATCAAGATTAAAAATTATCACTCCAGAAGCCACTTTCTTGCCCCCTCAAAATCATTATCATCTGGCAGAAAGCAATCACTACTCTGGCTTATAATACCTTAGACAGTTTGGCTCTCTGAATTATATGTGAATGAAATCATATAGTATAGTCTATGTCTTTTGTGTTTCTCTTTTGTTCAACATTGCCACTGTGAGATTCATTTGTTGCCTATAATTTTTTTAAAATCCTGTGCCTTTTTACTCTCTTAGCAGTGTCTTTTAAAGAAAAAATTCTTAATTTCTATGCAGTTTATTGTTTTCTTTTATGCTGTGTGCTTTATCTTGACCTATACCCAAGGTCATGAAAATAATGATATATTCTAGAAGCTACATTATTCTGCCTTTCACTTTTATAATGCATGTGAAATTGGCACAAGGGCCAAATATTTACCCTAGGAGTATCCAACTGATCTACCCCAGTTTATCAGAAAAAAGAGCCCTTTTCCTAATGTCCTACAACACTTTGTCATAAATCATGTCCTTCAGATTTACATGTCTTTATAGAGTATCATTTGTCTATTCTTGCATCGGTGCAGCCCTGTATTGATAACAGGAGTTTATTCTGATATCCTGATAACAGCTAGAGTAAGTCCTCCTCCTAATCTATGAACATAATACATTCTTTGATTTACTTTGGCTTATTTTTGTTTTGTTTTTTTTTGGTACCAGGGATCGAACTTCAGGACCTTGTGCTTGAGAGGCAGGCAGAGGAACCACTGAGCTAAATCCCCGGCCCAGTTTACTTTGACTTTTTAAATTTTCTTAATCATTTTTATGTTTTTGTCCTCATTCTCACGTTAAAAAAATGTTTTTATCATACTGAAACTGAAGCATACAGTGATAGTTGTGTGTGTGTCTTAACTAGCTGATTCTGGAATGTACAGGGACTTGCAAAGGGGCAAGAATAGCAAAATATCTTTGAGAAAATTAAAACTTAAATATTTTTTAAAACTTGAATTTATCAAATATTTTGCAAGTATTTTAAATTTTTGTGAAGTACCCAATACCTTAAATATGAATTACATCTAAAATTGGTACCAACAGAGTTAGGATATAAATACGCTTTTAAAAATGGGGAGGATGAGATGGCTGTAGAAATCAAAAACAATTAAAATCAAAATAAACTTTAATTTTTCAAAGCTATTGAAATTATCCCATACACTTCATAATACTATGAACTTTATAAGGAAATAACAGAAGCTTTTCAGTGACATGATAATTGGAACAACAGGCATTTGGGCCAGGGAGAGGTAAAGGTTGGAATTCTGGTTTAGAAAAAAAAATCATTTATGTTGGAGGTTAATGCCCTACGAGTGGAACCATATCAAGTGAAGAGAGTCCTAAGTCAAGAGACACATGGAAAATAGCCATATTTAAGATGAGCTAAGAAAGTATCCATCCACAAAAAAGACAAAGAAGCATCAGAAAAGCAGAAAATCAGAGAAACAGTGAAGGAGATAGAGACTCAGGGGAAGTTATTTTCGAAAGGAAGTGCTTTTATATGAGGATATGCAGATTAACATTTATTGACTTCTTTGTGGTTGTCAGTTTAAAAGAAACCTTAATTTTCACACACATGTCTTAATTATACAGGCAATATGTATTAATGCTGTGCTGGAGAAGATAAAGAACATTTGTGAAGAAGAGGAAGTACTAAAGCAAAACAGAGAAAGTGAAAATTTTAGAAAAGCCTTTTCAGAGCCAGTGCTCTCAGAGCCGATGTTTCCCGGAGGTGAAATCAAAGCAAAACCTTACAGGTCATTGACAGAGAAGCCAGACATTTCATATCATCCCAAACTTCCTGCTAACAAGCAGAACAAGATCCAGGTTTTACACTCGGTGTTTGACCAGTCAGCTGAAATGAATGAGCAAATATGAACACAACAGCACTGACCAGAGCTTAAGAGCTCCATATCTAATGACATGTTTCATCGGACAAAGCCAGGAGATCAGTACACATATATGTATGTTCTGCTTTAAGAAAGAAGGGGGAGAGCAGCTACAACTACTACTAAGTGTCATTCTGTAGTACTTATTTGGTAGAGAAAAATAAAATCTTGATGTAGACTATGTGTGTGACTATACAGTATTTTTCATGAGCTAAAAAATTCATTCTGGTGGGTTAGACTTTACACTGTGGCTCATACTCCGAGCAAATTCATAATTCATGTTTTTATTAAAAAGCTGTTTTGGGCATCTATCTGGGGGGGAAAGAACCTTATCCAGAGCCCTACCCTTCTTGACCCTCCTTCCCAGCAGACACATCATTTGATTTCATCTACCACAGGGTCACCTGGTCACATACTGCATATTTTTTTTCAGAGATAGTAAAAGGACATTTACTGTATATCTACGGGCTGTAGAGTTTGAGTCTGCCTATGAAGTTTTTATTACTGTTGTGAGAGTTGTAATCATATATGTCTCTATACATGAAGACCAGAGGTACTGATGTGTCTTTTTCTTTTAAGAGATGGGCTCTTGTTATGTTACCATGCTGCCTTGAGCTCCAGGAACAAGTGATCCTTCTGCTTCAGCCTCCGGAGTAGCTGGCACTACAGGCACACTTGGCAATGTAACCAATATTTTGTTTTTCATATTTCCAGATTTAAAGACACAGATTAGAACAAGAAACCAAGCGCACATTACTCATTATTGTCATTTGCTCCTGAGAAAAAAATGCTTCTGTAATTGGCACTGCAAACCAGGGTCATAGTTTTTGCCTCCCGGAGGTACTCTGTTGTTTCTCCCATGCCCTGAAATTCTGGACATACAATAAGACCTTAGTGGTCATTTAAGAATTATCACATGACAAAAAATAGGCTGGGATGAACTCACCCTACATGCTCTGTACCCAGTGAAGCTGCTATTTATAAAAAGCCCAAACCTGGTTTATTAGTGGTCTGAGAAATGAGTAACAAATGTATTTTCTCATATACTCCCCAAAAGAAAATACAGTACTACAAAGCAAAGGGCCCATGGGTAGAGTTTGTTACATACCTTATTCACTTAATAACTTTATAATAACCAGGGGAAAGAGTCCAGGTGGGCCCCTCTGAATGTTAAGTATTAGGTCTGGCTCTACATTTATGCCTACATTGAAGATCACTGTGCCTTGAGACAAGGGTCTACTCTTAGCAAACAGTCCTCATCCTACCTGGACCCATTTACTCTTCCATCCCTACCATGTACTGCTGAGTTCTGTGTGACTTACACACAGCATGATAATTCTAAATTCTTAACAACATGGATGGTGCAGGCATCAGGCAATCAGAACAGCACTGGCCACAAGTAACTGGCATACGGGAAACCAGCCCAACCGACTGAACACCAACTAACCCTGCCTGTGAACTATGGGAACAAAATTCCAGGTATCTCCTTCCTATAACATTGATAGGAAACAGCTGTGCACACATGCACAAAGTTCCCTCTTTAAAAAAATAAATCTTTTAGTTGAAAATTTCATATAAGCAAAGGACATGGGTTCACTGAACAGGAGACTTGTCTAGTGGCGGGGCAGGAGCTATGAGAACCTTCTTTTGAGAATATTCCTTGTCCAAAGAGAAACCGAGCCAAGGCGTATTTGACCTCCAGCACATCAGTGAGTTTCTCATTAAGTGCAGTACATAAATTCATCTGTTTTGGGAGGTATTTTAAAGTGTGCAACATCTGCTGTGTATTTGGAAAAACTGCACATCAGAGGAAAATTCCCATGAACTTCAATTTTACCCTGAAAAGTGTACAACTAACAAACAGGGAGGTGGGATCTGCGGAGGTATCAATTGAAGCAAGGGTTTCATCCTTTTTACTTTGTACACATTAGATAGTTTACTACATCAAAAAGGGACTTACTTCTGTCAAAGATTTCCCGTGCTAAATCATACTTCCTACCTATTACTCATTTTGACTTCAATTGAACATCCCACCTTACCACCTTCAGGTTCCGACCAATCCAGAGGCCTGGATGAAAGGTATCTCGTTGTCCTCATGGTATATCCTTAGCAATATACATTTAAGTACCTGTGCTTTAAATCTTCGCAAGTCTGTATCAACTTTAAAGATCAGTAATACTTGTATCTATGTTGAAAAATTAATCTTTGGTATCGAAACAAAGTTATTGTACAATGTTATAAAACACACACATTTTTCACTTTTATCAAGAGGAACTTCGAATTACTTTGTACTGTCCAGTAGCATAAAAATCAGAGTCACACTTAAAAGGTTCCTTAGAAAGAGTCACATAAATATTCCCATTTTCCACTGTCACTGTGTGGATCCTTTGCTTTATTCCTTTGGAGCACCACTTGGGTTTTGCTGATGGATCTTTAGGATTTATGGCCTGGTAGAGTCCTTCTCCTGTTGTCAAAGTAATTTTGTATTTATGCCAAGGGCAAACTATACATGATCGTCCATCAAAATCCTAGAGGGTGGGGAGGAAATAACTGATTTAACAGACTTGACATTTCATGATAAGCCTAGGAGCTAGTACAGAATCTTCTGCAGAACAACTAGGTTGAAGAACAGGCTAGCTTTTCGTTTTTCTCTCCATTTACAAATTATTTAGTATAAAGCAGCACCTAATGTAAGAAGAGTCATCAAGTCCTTTTAGCATTTGATTAGAAGCCCCAGAGGGTTGGAGCTCTATTAGAAGATGACTCACTCAAGCCAAGATGCCGCGTGACAGTGGCTGTGCTGTTATCTATCTTAATGTTGCTGCTTCCTTGACAGACAGGGTGCAAGGGCTTCTAGTGCTTCAAAAGCAATTTCCACTAGCAGCTAGAAGCAATGTAGGCTGCAGCAGGGAATTCAAGAGGCATCACTAAAGGCCATAAGTGCAGATATTAATGAAGAGCAATTTGTGATTCCAACCTTTGAACTCTCAGTGAAATTCTTCTCAAACTCTAAGGAGCACGGGATACAGCGGCTTCTGTTTAGATGCCACTCCACCTGTTTACATTTAGTGAGCTTACAGCGGGGCTCAGGAGTGCACATTGTCTAAGAAGCCAACGTGGACGTCAAAGCTGTTAGCTGCAGACTGCACTTGGAGTAGCAAGGTCTTAAAGCTCTTATTGATGGAAACGGGGGGAATGTGTATGACGTTATCAGCAGCAGGTGCTTGTACTTTTCCTCTACAGCAGGAATGCTTATTTGTACTCCATAGAGCTGTGAGCAAATGTTCACATGTTCATAGATTAAACACACATGGTTAATCCTTTAACATGAGGACAGGTGTGAAACCAGGGAGATATCAAGTGTAGACAGAGCGAAATACTAAGTTCAAGCTTATGCTCTACACCAATTAGAGACAGAGCACGATAGACAACCAACATTAGGCAACTAGTTTGGAATATAAGGAAGTAAAGACAGTTGTCCTTTTCTTCCTCAGTTAAGATCTCAAAGCTGGGCGTAGTGGTGAATTCCTGTAATCCCAGCACACTGAGATACTGAGGCAGGAGGACTGAAAGCTTTAGTCCAGCCTGGGCTACTCCGCAACTTAGTGGTTTCTTCTTTAAAATTAAAAAATTTTTTTTTCATTATTTAAAATACTTATAAAACTTCAATATCTATGACGTGTATGAAGTAAAAGGTGAATATTATTTTAATTAAAAATGAGAACTAATTAGAATTCCTATTGTCTGACTTACTTTTATGACTCACACATATATTGTTAACATGGCCCCACACAAGCAAACACAGTTTGGCCTCATTCATTTCATGGCTGCACAGCATGCCATAGCATGGTTGTATTTTAATCTATTGAACCCAGTTATTATTGTTAAAACATTTAGGTTACCTTCAACTTTTCATCATAATATATAATGCTACAATAAACCTTTCCTTATTAGGTAAATATTTGTGCAATTATGTACATAGGCTAGGTATCTGACAATACAAATGCTAAGTTAAAAGACACACATACTTTCTTGTTTACCTATGACATGGTTCTCTGTAGGGCTGTGAATACTTAGAATATTGGCAGTTATATTCAAAGCATTAAAATATAATTAAATCTAAATATAAGTTGTCTTAGAATAAAGAATGAAACAAAATAATATAAATTGGAAACATCTGACTTTGTTTAGAATACATTTAATTTTACATACCTCTATTTCTCCCAAATGTAGAGGTCCTCCTGAATCTGAAAAGGAATTGAATATTGTATCTAGTCACAGAAATATTGAATTTTGATAGTTTTGTGATTAACAAATAAAAATTCTAGAGATGAAAAATAAAATCTTACGATAACAGCGAATATCCATAGCATGATATTCTCCTTTGTGGTAGAAAATAACCACTTCTCTGTCATGGACAACAGCTGTCATTCTTTCAGACTTTTTAATGTCTGCTTCTCTGCCAACACAGACAGAAGAATATTCCTTTTCTTCAGGATTTTTTACAGAGTCATGAGAATCCATGCTAACTGGAAAAAAAATTTACAAGTGGACTTCATTATTTTGTCTACAACTCAACTCATAGAGTTATATAAGGTAGAGTTTTTAAAATTTCAGTGGTGGGGATCAAACCCAGGCAAGCTACCACTAAGCTATCCAGCCCTAAGTTACAAACTCACAGAGCCTGTCACCCACTCTAATAATAGATTTAGAGAAATTTTAATGCTTAAGATGGAAATCTCAGGACACATAAGGCACAGACTAAAGCTTCACTACTCTTTTATTCCTGATCAAATGCAATACTGTCTGAACTGTTTCATTATCCGTGAGTCTGCAGCCTTCTGGAGAAGGCAGTGTGAAGAGCCTCCAGGCTGCATCATCGGCCTGCCATTACCTAGAGCACTTGAACAACAGAAATGAGGAGATTGGAGATTGGCTTATATTCAGATGATGGGCAGCCTGTGAGTGGGGCTTGTTCTAAGAGCAGTGGGAATCCACTTAAGGACATAAAGCAGGGCTGTGTGACATGATTTATTTTTTAAAAAATGTCCTGGGCTCTAGGGAGGGTAGATTACAGCAGAAGAAAAACAAAAGCACAGAAATCAGAAAGTTACTACAGTGGACCATGGGAAAGATGGTGACTTAGGCCAGGGTGTTTCCTTCATGGGGGAGAAAAAGTAATGACAGCAGTAACAGCAAGGCTACAATCAATTGTGCTAAGTGTGAATCATTGTTTTAAAACTGTATTTTTGGCCGGGTACAGCGCATACCTGTAATCCCAGCACTTGAGAGACTAAGGCAGGAGGATCACCATGAGTTTGAGGCCAGCCTGAGCTACATGGTGAGTTCAAACTCAGCCAGAATTATGCAGTGAGACGCTGTCTCAACCATCCTCCCAAGACTATATTCATTTATGCTGGCCACCTCTGTGTATTAAACAATGAGCGATACACAAAGTAAAACTGGGCTTCCTGGGAAATTCTGTCCTGAAATTGTGGATGTTCCTTAAAGAACTGGGCCTACCCTGTGCCATTTTCTCTCCCCACACCTCCACTCTGTCAGAAATCAAATACTGGTTAGTGTACAAGTAAAGGCTGGCATCCAGAATATAACCTTTACAATTCACTTTTCTCTGTATTTCTAAAGTTTGTCCTCTATTTTTTCCTTTAACATCCTTTTGGCCAAATATAAAAATCAAAAGGTGAGGAAAACAAAATCAAACCTAAGAAATCCCTCAATATTATCTACAGGGACAGGCTCGAGGGTTACAGGTCTAACACAGTCCTTTAAATCAAAATAATAATTAATGTGCAATACTATTAACTGCTCTATAACACTTAGGAGCCATTCTTCAAAATTCCAACACAAAAATTAAATATGGTACATGAATATATTGCCATGCCTCACATAACTCTGGTTATCTAAGACCTCAGTGGATATTTATGTCTGACATAAACCTTCCAAAATGAAATGTAACAGCAATTCCAAAGTCCAGGCTCTAATGGATATTTTTCAATTTCAATTCCATTTTCATAATTTCATCATTTTATGACTGCATTTAATCAGTGCGAAAATACAGAAAGACCTGACATCTTGGCAGGTATCTAACTCTACCTTAAGCAAGATAAAAAGTTACATCTAGAAAAGGAAAAGAAGTGAATAAAAATAATGGCCCATGTTAGCTGTAGAGACTCAAGTGTTGCTGAGAAGTGTGCTGTGAGATGTTCATGGTATTAACCTCATGCATTTTTGTACAATTTAAAATATTTACCAAAATTATACACTACACATCAGTTTCAAATACATACTCCAATTCTAGGAAGATGATCTTTCATAATCCACATCCTCTTCAAAATATATTTCACGGAAAGTTATTCAACATACCTTTCCTCCGTCAGCGGGAACCTATCACTTTAATTCCCCTGGAGGCTTAGGCAAATATTTTCCACATACACACACATATCCGGCAGCTTTAAAAGGGGCACTTGAATCTAGCTTAGAATGGTCCCAAACTATGGACCCAACCCCTCCCAACAAGAAGAAAAGTTTGTTCACCAACGGCCAAGTGGCTTCAGGCCTTTTGCAGAGAACTTTCCTGATGGCTTCTCTAAATATTTAATCCTGTATGATGGACTAGAAGTTGCAAAATGTTAGTAGGAATAGAGCACAGCTCACTTAAAGGCAAGTTTATAAAACAGAGAGATTATTACTTAGGAGTAAAATCTCTGTGTGGGTTAGGAGTGCGCTCTTACAAAGGGGAATTTATGGGTCACTGTTTTAAGAGGGGAAGCTCTACGCCATGTGGAAGGCAGTGTGAGATAGTGCCGTAACCGTGGGCGCCGACACTGAAGCAGAGGCTCTGCATATGTGTGTACGTCTGTACCAGTGCACACTTGCACGGATGCCAAGAGGCAGGGGCTCTCAACGTATGAAGCAAAATATCACAAAGATTAAGTGTAGTAAGTTATAGGGATGTCAGATTTGTACTCTGGAATTTGCATTGTTAATTTTTGTCCTAATTGGCCTAGTTTGGCCAGGAGCATAGCTCAGGGATAGAGCGCTTGCCTAGCTTGCCCAAGGCCCTGGGTTCAGTCTCAAGTGCTGCAAAAAAAAAAAAAAAAAAAAAAAAAAA